TCACTTTGAAAATGTGAAAATATGTATTTGTTTTGATTTTTATTATAGACATTGTTGTTGATATTTATGTTGTGAGTGTGCATTTTCTCCAAAATCTTAATTTGATCTCTATATATCATAAAAGGAAAAACCTGAAAAAACGGAGAACCTCTAGCTAGAAGAAACAATACTTACTTGCTCGGTTAGTTTCTCGATCTCAGCTGTGTAATGGTCCATTGCATCAACTTTCTTTCCCCATAGCCCAAGAAAGCCTAACTGCGAGATGAAACAGAATTAAACAAAAGCTTCTCTCTGAACATGTTTTTCGGGTTTCTCCAAGTATTTACCTTTACCCTTGGCCTTTGTTCCTTATTTCTTGTATACTTCAAATGGTAGTAATCAAACCAATTCTGAACTTTCTTCTTCTCCGCTACTAAATCAGCTAATTCATTTGCATTGTAAACCACCTGGGATATATAATCAAAGAGACTTAGCCGAGAAAATAGCGATAAAGATTGATTTGTTTAGGGCTATGTTCTAACCTGATGTGTAAGATAATGGTCCGGGTGGTTGACCAGAAAGAAATGCTCCACATTTTCGCTAATTGACTCGTATGAATCCGGTGGTACATTCCTAACCAAAACCTGTCAAATGCGCGCAAACAATATCCTAAAAGTTGGAATCTGTTTCATATTTAGACCAAATAGATTATATAAGAGAAAGGAAACATCTTTACGGTGAATTGATCAGCACGCCGCTTCTCGGATTGGAGAAATGCTAATCGCATTGAAGCTATTTTCTCATATTCCTTCATTAGAACATAGCAAGTCCAGAATGTAATTGCGTATCCCATCGTGAGATGGGCCCAAAACCTTTACGAAAATTAAGAGTTTCTAATCATTAGGGTGAAAAAATAAAAAAGCAGCAATTAGAGATTTTCTTTCTCTAACAAACCTGTCTGATCCAAATTCGACATTTGAAATCGAAAGCTTATCGATATTGCTCGCTGTTACATTACGAAGTTTTGCTACCTCCAATCCATCACTTGTCCAATTGACAGGTACCAGAACCGACCATGAAAGTAATGCGATCGGGACAAAGATCTTAAGTCTGTAAAATAGTAAAAACAAAGAACAAATCTATTATTAGTAATTCTATTTTACTATCTTAAGATCAATGCTCAAAGATACTTATAATTCTTAAGGCACAATGTATGCAAATAACAAAGAAGTTATGAACATTTTGATTACCCAATC